GAGGATGACCCCTACCCCTCTTTCCTTCCCCTATAGATTTATATGCTTTCCATGTCATTCTACTTTGATCCATTCTCTCTAAATGACCAAACCACCTCAACAACCCCTCTTCTGCCCTCTGACTAATGCTTTTATTAACTCCACACCTTCTCCTAATTTCCACACTCCGAATTTTCTGCATAATATTTACACCACACATTGCCCTTAGACAGGACATCTCCACTGCCTCCAACCGTCTCCTCGCTGCTGCATTTACCACCCCAAGCTTCACATCCATATAAGAGTGTTGGTACTACTATACTTTTATACATTCCCTTCTTTGCCTCCATAGATAACGTTTTTTGACTCCACATATACCTCAACGCACCAGTCACCTTTTTCCCCTCGTCAATTCTATGATTAACCTCATCCTTCATAAATCCATCCGCCGACACGTCAACTCCCAATTATCTGAAAACATTCACTTCTTCCATACTCCTCCTCCCCAATTTGATATCCAATTTTTCTTTATCTAAATCATTTGATACCCTCATCACCTTACTCTTTTCTATGTTCACTTTCAACTTTCTACCTTTACACACATTCTCAAACTCATCCACTAACCTTTGCAATTTTTCTTTAGAATCTCCCATAAACACAGTATCATCAGCAAAAAGTAACTGTGTCAATTCCCATTTTGAATTTGATTCCCCATAATTTAATCCTACCCCTCTCCCGAACACCCTAGCATTTACTTCTTTTACAACCCCATCTATAAATATATTAAACAACCATGGTGACATTACACATCCCTGTCTAAGACCTACTTTTACCGGGAAGTATTCTCCCTCTCTTCTACACACCCTAACCTGAGCCTCACTATCCTCATAAAAGCTCTTTACAGCATTTAGTAACTTACCGCCTATTCCATAAACTTGCAACATCTGCCACATTGCTCCTCTATCCACTCTATCATATGCCTTTTCTAAATCCATAAATGCCATAAAAACTTCCCTACCTTTATCTAAATACTGTTCACATATATGCTTCAATGTAAACACTTGATCTACACATCCCCTACCCACTCTGAAGCCTCCTTGCTCATCCGCAATCCTACATTCTGTCTTACCTCTAATTCTTTCAATTATAACTCTACCGTATACTTTTCCTGGTATACTCAGTAAACTTATTCCTCTATAATTTTTACAATCTCTTTTGTCCCCTTTCCCTTTATATAAAGGGACTATACATGCTCTCTGCCAATCCCTAGGTACCTTCCCCTCTTTCATACATTTATTAAACAAAAGTACCAACCACTCCAACACTATATCCCCCCCTGCTTTTAACATTTCTGTCATGATCCCATCAGTTCCAGCTGCTTTACCCCCTTTCATTCTACGTAATGCCTCACGTACCTCCACCACACTTACATTCTGCTCTACTTCACTCCTAAAAGATGGTATACCTCCCTGGCCAGTGCATGAAATTACCGCCTCCCTTTCTTCCTCAACATTTAAAAGTTCCTCAAAATATTCTCACCATCTACCTAATACCTCCCTCTCCCCATCTACTAACTCCCCTACTCTGTTTTTAACGGACAAATCCATACTTTCCCTAGGCTTTCTTAACTTGTTTAACTCACTCCAAAATTTTTTCTTATTTTCATTAAATTCTTGACAGTGCCTCTCCCACTCTTTCATCTGCTCTCCTTTTGCACTCTCTCACCACTCTCTTCACCTTTCTTTTACTCTCCATATACTCTGCTCTTCTTATAACACTTCTGCTTTGTAAAAACCTCTCGTAAGCTACCTTTTTCTCTTTTATCACACCCTTTACTTCATCATTCCACCAATCACTCCTCTTTCCTCCTGTCCCCACCCTCCTATAACCACAAACTTCTGCCCCACATTCTAATACTGCATTTTTAAAACTATTCCAACCCTCTTCAACCCCCCCACTACTCATCTTTGCACTAGCCCACCTTTCTGCCAATAGTCGCTTATATCTCGCCCGAACTTCCTCCTCCCTTAGTTTATACACTTTCACCTCCCTCTTACTTGTTGTTGCCACCTTCCTCTTTTCCCATCTACCTCTTACTCTAACTGTAGCTACAACTAAATAATGATCTGATATATCAGTTGCCCCTCTATAAACATGTACATCCTGGAGCCTACCCATCAACCTTTTATCCACCAATACATAATCTAACAAACTACTTTCATTACGTGCTACATCATACCTTGTATATTTATTTATCCTCTTTTTCATAAAATATGTATTACTTATTACCAAATTTCTTTCTACACATAGCTCAATTAAAGGCTCCCCATTTACATTTACCCCTGGCACCCCAAATTTACCTACTACTCCCTCCATAACATTTTTACCCACTTTAGCATTGAAATCCCCAACCACCATTACTCTCACACTTGATTCAAAACTCCCCACGCATTCACTCAACATTTCCCAGAATCTCTCTCTCTCCTCTACACTTCTCTCTCTACACTTCTTGTGCATATGTGAGCATAATGATGTGAAGAGTCAGGTGAGGTGCTCTTTTCATTTATTTATTTATGTCTTTGCAAATAGTACATTGAGATTGTGTATTTACAATAATGGGTAGCAATGCAAAGAGAGCCTCTATTATGCCTAGGCATTATGGGCTGACTTAATGTTATTGGCTTGCTGACTACTTAACACTAAGAATTATATCATAGTTGTACAGTAGATAATTAATTATAAGTGAATCTAATTTATATAAGACAAAAGATATTTATATATTCAAAAATGCTTTTTGTGAAACAATGATTCAATTTTATTCCTGTCAACAATGGATAAAAGGTTCGAAAGTAATTGTTGAAATTATGATATGGGAATACGTATTGAGTATGTGAGTACTGAGTATTGAGCATTTAGTCTAGGGTGATTAAGTGGCTTTTGAGAAGAGTCTTAAATTGATTTTCAGACTGGGTTACTTTAGTATCCATCTTAACAACCCCCTCCTCAGCCCTCTGGATAATACTTTTAGAAACCCCCACACCCCCTTCTAATCTCCAAGCTACTGATTCTCTCCTTTATATTCACACTGCACATTATCCTCAGACACTACACCTTCACTGCTTCTATCCTTCTCCTTATTGCAATATTCACCACCCATGCTTCACATCCTCACAAGAGCATTGGTATAATTATACTCTCAAACATTTCCCTTTTTGTTTATATGGATAATGTTCTTTGCCTCCAGACTCCTCAGTGCACCACTCACTTTTTTCCCCCTCATCAATTCTTTGGGTGACCTCGTCTTTCATAGATCCATCTGCTGACGAGTCCACTTCCAAATATCTGAATACATTCACTTCCTCCATACTCCCTCCCTCCAGTCTGATATCCAATTTTTCATTTCCTAAATTTTATGTTGTCCTCATTACCTTACTCTTTCCTATGTTCATTGTAATTTCCTTCTATTACATACCCTACCAAACTCGTTCACCAGCTTCTTCAACTTCTCAGAATCTTCTAATAGCAGTGTCATCAGCAAAAAACAATTGTGAGAACTTCCACTTTGTTAGATTCTTTGTCTTTTAATTCCACACCACCTGCCAACACCCGGGCATTCACTTCTCTTACAACCCGATCAATAAATATATTGAACAACCACGGTGACATCACACATCCCTGTCTAAGGCCTAATTTTACTGGTAAATAATCCCCTCTCTCCTATATACTCTAACCTGAGCCTCACTATCCTCATAAAAACTCTTCACTACTATCAGTAACCTACCTCCTATTTCATACATATACAACATCTGCCACATTGTCCCCCTATCCACCCTCTCATACACCTTTTCCAAATCCATAAATGCAACGAAAACCTCTTTACCCTTATCTAAATACTGTTCACCTATATGTTTCACTGTAAACACTTGGTCTACACACCCCCTACCTTTCCTAAAACCTCCTTATTCATCTGCAATCCTGCTCTCCATCTTGCTTAATTCTTTCAATAATAACTCTACCATCCACTTTACCAGGTACTTATTCCCCTATAATTTTTACACTCTCCTTTGTCCCCTTTGCCTTTATACAAAGGGGCTGTGCATGCTCTCAACCAATCCCTAGGTACCTTACCCTCTTCCATACATTTATTAAATAAAAGCATTTGTACAGTGGTACCTCGAGCTTCGAGCAGCTCCCGACTCGAACAATTATGTAAGTGTACGTATTTTTGTAAGTGCTTTTGTAAGTGTATTTTTGGGGGTCTGAAACAGACTAATCTAATTTACATTATTCCTTATGGGAACAAATTCGTTCTGTATCGGCACTCGAACAGCCGTATGGAACGAATTGAGTTCGTAACTCGAGGTACCACTGTACAATGCCTGCACTATAAAGGAGGGGTTTAGGATATTGGAAGTTTAGAGGGATGTCTAAACTGTCGTATCTGAGCACCTCTGCAAAGGCAGTGATTATGTATGAGTGATGGTGAAAGTGTTGATTGATGATGAAAGTTTTTTCTTTCTTTTTGGGTCACCCTGCCTTGGTGGGAGACGGCCGACATGTTTAAAAAAGAAAATTACAAATATATAATAGTCGCTGGCAGCATATTAACTGTCTCTTTTTAGAAATAGTGCCTTGATCATTTTCTTTGGAATGAATTGACAGTACACTTAGTTAAACACCAGCATTGAACACAGTTTTTACCCAGTGGTTATTAAATTTATTTGGTATGTAGATTCTTATTCATGATTTTGTTAAATGCCATACATTTCTAGATCAGCAAGAACATCTAAAATATATTTTAGCAAAAACTTCATTATTTTTGACATAATAAGAAATTATTTTTTTTCTCTTGTTGGTGTTAAAAATGTAACCCATTTTCCATCTATATTATTCATATTATCTAGCACAAAATTACATAAATATTCTTATTCTGTACCATATACAGCTCCTTTTGTTCTCATCCTATTATGAAATATATGCATAGGTCTGTGAATGTAATTTACAATTCTTTTGTTTTTCAGATTTCCTCCCCTTCACGTGTAACTTGTGTAAAAAAGAATTCTGGTGAGTTTTGTAACATATATGTTAATCAAAAATTTTAGAAAAAGTAGTCCTGAAAATATAATTTTGTACAAATTTTTGGAAAAAAACGTATCAAACCGTATCTTGTAGCTTATTTTCTTTAACTCTTAACAGTCTGAGGGTCCGTCCCGTAGTTCTACAGCTTTGAAGCCAGGGTCCAAGCAATAGTTCTATACCATGAGCTCAGCTTGCTCAGATAAGCTGTGAGCAGTAAATTTGGGCCTAGATATGAGAGAATGCATCTATGTGGTAAGTCTGCACTATATACGTAAAACAAATCCTGCAGCACAGAATGCATAATGAGAAAAACAATAAGACCGTGTTTCTGGATTAAAACACCGCGTTTCCAGTGTATTTTCATTTGTGTTTTACAGTTGTATTCATGATTTCTTGGTCTCATTTGATAGAATGGAAGATATATTACAGACAGAGATGATTTTGATTGGTTTTAGTACTGAAAATGGCTTGAAACTGAGCTTAAAGTAGTGGAAATGTTTAATTTTTGCCGTTGTTCAAGAGTAAACAAGTGACGTCATGCTTTCAATACACATCAGTTGGTGGGTCTAATGTGTGTTCATGAATGCGCTGATATTATTTACATTTATTACAATATTGCATAACAGTAAACCTTCTATATTTTGGTGTGAATACAAATTCATTATGTGAACAAAACCTCAAAATGGAATTTATTTGTAAAGCCTGGAAATGTAACTAATAAACAGAGGAAACATTATTTTAATGCTAGGAATGCCTGCATTATTTATTCTGGACCCTGTTTTGAAATTTAAATATTTTGAGCTTTGTGTGAAATTGGCCAAATTACCAATTTCCAGTCACTTTATTGGGTAGTTGAAGTAGTTGATTGGGCAATTTCTTGTGTTCAGTCGATAAAATAGAAGTAATACTAGCAAAATAGCTAAGAATTTAGTCGACTGGAATAATGTAATTGGCGTAAAATGGGAGTCAAACTGGGCAAAATCGCCGATGCGTAAGTATCGCTGACTTGGGAAAATTCACGAGTGTAATTTTGTCAATTTTCCATCAAATTTCATACTTTGTTTTATTACCTTTACAGAAAGATTCTCTACCATTTCTTAAGATTTTTTTTTTTTTTTTAAATTCTTGGACCCTTTGGACAAGTTTCGGATTAGGGCTCTGGGCTCTGAAAAGGTTAAGAAAGCTTCACTTTCATTGTAAGTTGAACTGCGAAAAGTTTAATCATAAAAAAGGAAAATTTTGGAACTGCATACTATTTCTCTTGTGCAGTAAATAGTGTATGTAAAAATAAAAAGTCACAGTACCTTGGCCTGAACAGTTCATCAAAACCCACACGTAGGAGAACCCCTAGGATGAATCTTTCAACATGCTCTCTTCAACCTTCTTACTTTCATTACTCTCAACACTGTTTTGACAATGGTTCTGGATGGAGTGATACATCATCCTCAGGTTCCTTCCTTAACCCTTTCAGGGTTTTCGACGTACTAGTACAGCTTACGCACCAGGGTTATTAACGCACCAGAATGCCTGAGTTCTAGTGCCTTCAAATCTAGTGAGAGAAAGCTGGTAGGCCTACATATGAAAGAATGGGTCTGTGTGGTCAGTGTGCTCAGTAAAAAAAAAAATTCTGCAGCACACAGTGTGTAATGAGAAAAAAAAAACTTTGTGTTTTTGGATTTAAAGCAGCGACTTTGCACTGTATTTTTGTATGGTATTTATGGTTGTATTCTAGTTTTCCTGGTCTCATTTTATAGAATGGAAGACATATTACAGAAATTGAGATGATTTTGATTGGTTTCACAATGAAAAGTACCTTGAAATTGAGCTCAAAGTAGCAGAAATGTTCGATTTTTACCAAAGTTCAAAAGTAAACAAATCATGCCAAGCGTCCAATACACATCAACTGGTGAGTCTAATATTCTTTCACAAGTGAGGTGATGTTATTTATACCATTTCTACACTAATGCAGTAGTCTGCATAACAGTAAATCTATTTTTTGTAAGAATAAAAATTCAAAGCGGAAAACAAAGGAAATATAGGAGGGGCCTGGGGACATGACTAACGAACAGAGAACTTGTTATTTTAGTGCCAGGAATGTCTGTCTTGTTTATTCTGGATCCTATTTGGAAATTGGCATCTTCTGAAATTTGTGTGAAATAGGCAAAATTGCCAATTTCTAACCACTTAATTGGATAGTTGAAATTGGTAAATGGGTGGTTTCTTGTACTCATTCGATAGAAAAAATGGAGTTCTAGCAAAATAAATATGATTTTTGTCGACTAATACACAGGAATTGGCCAAAAATAGGGCTCAAAGTTGGCAAAATCGCTGATGTGTAAACATCGGCGAGACCACTAACTTCACGAGAGCATAATTCTGTAAGTTTTCCATCAAATTTCATACTTTTGGTGTCATTATGATCGGGAAAAGATTCTCTATCATTTCATAAGAAAAATAATTTTTTTTTTTTCCGAAAAATTTTCGACCCTGAGAAGAAATTTAGGGGAGGGCCTCTCGACCCTGAAAGGGTTAAGAGTGGGTTTATGGTGAATTGTAATTCATACATTATTGGCAGTGTATACTGGGGATATTCTGAACATTTCTCTTATATACAGTTTGTACTTAATAATTTTCTGCATATATGTACCTCATATTTTAAATTAAGCTTTTTGTTAGTTAATTAATTGTAGCCAGCCTCAGACAATTGCCAGTACAGGTTGACCATCACTAATCCGGCATCATTGGGACCTGTAGGGTGCCGGATTAGTGATTTTGCCGTATTACAGAGTGGTTAGGTTAGAAAACACTTAACCCAACAGCGATATTAATGCATCGGCGATTTCACCCACTTTATGCCCTATTTTTGGCTCATTCCATTATTCCTGTATCCATTATCCTTTCCTGTAATATATCTTCTGAACATTAAAATGGTATAAAATACCGACAGGTATCAAAAGAGACCAAAGAAAACGACAATACAACCATACAAACCATACAAAAATACACCACAAAATCATAATTTTTGTCATGCACTGCATGCTGCAGGTTTTTTCTATATAGTACATACTTAACACACCAATTCTCTCATATGTAGGCCCAAATTTACAGATCACAGCTTATCTGAGTGAGCTGAGCTCATGGCAACCGACAGTGGCTTCAAAGCCACCTTATCTTTTATGGACAATGTATGGTGCATGTGCTTTACACAACGAGAAGCATTTCTTTTATTTGTTGGAACCATGGCTAGGGCTAAAAGTGAGCAGGCTATAATAATACATGTAAATGGAGAAAAAGAAATTGGAGCAACTTGTGCAGCAAGTAGTGCCACCAAATGGTAGTGGCAGGTTGGTGTGGTGACCCTAGAAATTTGAAATTATGCTAGCCAGGATAAGTGCCAGATTACTGATTGCTGGATTAGTGATGGCCAACCTGTATTCCAAACACAGTTATGAACCCTTCTTAGTGATATCTCGTACATTAGATATGTTGTGCACTTTTTCCATCAGAAAGTTAGGAAAGCAGTTGACAAAGATAGGTGGAGCCATTAAGTTATACAGGTAGGTGTTTTCACTTACCATCATTTCCTCCTCTTTAGTGTTGACCATCACAAGTATGATGCCCATAACTGCTCAGAGAGCTATCAAGCAGATGTTCGTGTGCCCATATGCCCCCTGTGCAACCAACCAGTGCCAAGCAAAAGAGGACAACCACCTGACTTAGCTGTAAATGACCATATGGAGAATAATTGTAAAAACAAAAATAAGAAGGTAAAATACTCAAGTACAGCACTTTGAAATTACTGATAAGCTTTTAATTACATAGGCTGAAGAATCTGTTAATCTATAATAATTTACTTTTTGCTTAAATTTCTGTTTGAAGTCAGAAATGTGTAAAGGCTTGCTGAAAACGTTCTCTTTTGCAGATCTACACTAACAAGTGCTCTGCTGTAGGATGCAAAACTAAAGAAATGATACCTGTTTCTTGTGACTCCTGCAAGCAAAACTTTTGCCTGAGACATAGACATGCAATTGACCATGACTGCAAGGGTCATTCTACAGTGAGAGATCGTACTTTGTAAGTTTTTTGCTGCAGTGTATATCAGAACTCATTCACCTTCGTGTATTATGTAAATAGAAAATTCTTTATATTGATTGTTTATATTCATGAGATTTTATGATCACTCATCATTAAACATTAACCCAGAGCTTAAATTCCATCTGGAGAGCTTCAGCAGAACACACAGACACAATACAAGGAACAAATATATCTCTGACCTTCCACGTGTATGTCTCAGCCTGTTCCAAAACTTCATGCAAATAAAAGCCCAATAATATGGAACTCACTGCCTGAAAATGGCAAGTTTCCCATCTGCCAACGTCTATACTAATGTTGTTAAAAAGCACCTATTGAATCTATTAAATCTCAAATAAATATTATATCCATTAACTGTCTGTAAATCCTTATGCTTCGATTTCACCACCTTAAGTCAACTACTTCAAAAAATACAGATGATTAAACCGATGTAAATAAGATGCAAGTTATTGTAATTGTCCAGATTGTCATTTGCATCCTGTTTTATTGTACTTATGATTGTAATAAATTGCACACAATAGCTAGAATTATATGCTAGTCTTAGATTTAAATAGTATGTAAGCTTTATGATTAGTTTGCCTGAAATGTATTGCATAATAAGTAGCTTTTATCAGAGCTTTCTTTTGTATCAAATTATATTTGTATATGGTAATTACAGCAGTGCCCTGCTTTACAGCGTTCCGCTAATACAGACATTTCAAATTATGACCAAAACTCGCTATACAATATCCCCCTCCTGACTTTCTAATACAGTCACTGCATCCCACCCGATTTGTTTACATTCTCTGTGTCTTTCCATTATGTCTGGAAACCTTCCAAAATTTCAAGCTTTTTAAAGTTATTTCATGTTTTATGTGTGCTCTGATAATTATACTTATGTGTACCTGTACCTAAATAAACTTACACACTGTGCTGGCATGCAGGTACACATTAAAATCACTAAGAGTGTATTATTAGTCTTGACACCTTATTAATAATGATACTAATAATAATATGCAATAATCACTCAAAGGCACATTAAATGTCGTATATTATGTTAATACAGTAGAGCCCTGCTTTACGGCATTTTGCCTTACAGCATTCCGCTAATACGGCAATTTCAAATTATGACCAAAACTTGCTATACGGCAAGTGGTCTTTCTAATATGGTGCGCCCCACCCAGTTTGTTTACATTCTCCGTGAGCACATCTCTCTATTATGTCTGGAAATTTTCCAGAATTTCAAGTGTTTTAAAGTTATTGTGTATTTTATATACATATGTATACAGTACTCGGATAATTATACTTATGTGTACCTGTACCTAAATATACTTACACACTATGCTGGCGTGCAGGTACACATGAAAATCACTAGGAGTCTCTCCACTCTTGACGCCATATAATCTGTTGGGGGCATTTAATGTCATATATTACGTTAGTATAGACATTTCCATTAATCTATCTATGATATTGTTTTCAAAATTATATAATAAACACGCTACGTAACATATAAAAATGATACATACACCCACAGTATAAAAATTGACATAAATATGAGATTTGTTTACCAAGAGGTTTGTAGGAGTGTCAGAAGAATTACGTTTTCTCTAGTCAAACACCGGTTACTAACTGTAGAAAAATATTCCTTTCATATACCTTCACTCTATCTATAGGTATTCATGATTCTTGTGGGTTTAGTGCTTCTTTTTATTGTGATTATAATAATACTGTAATAATAACTTGTAATAATAATAATTTGTAATACAGTGGACCCCCGAGTTTCGGCAGCCTCCACTTTCGTGAAATTCGACCTTCGGCGAGCTTTTTTTTGGGGGGAAAAATTTGGCCTCGAGTTTCGTGAAAAGGCTCATGTTTCGGCGACTGTCCGGTACCCGTCTGCCCGTCACCGTGCACACAAAGCCAGTCTCCCACGCCATTCACGCTCAGTGTGCCATTATTTACCAACACGCAACCATCACCCCGCGGGTTCGTACAATACATTTCATAATAATCCATTGTTTTTTGTGCTTGCAACTGCTAAATAAGTCGTCATGGACCTAAGGAAAGCTAGTGCAAGCCCTTTGATAAATAAAGTGAGTGACGGGGATGTGGAAGAGTTGGTGGAGGACCACAGGGAAGAGCTAACCACTGACGAACTGCAAGAGCTTCAACTGGAACAGCATCAGACCACAGCTGAGGAACTTGCTTCAGAGGAGGAGGAAGAGGGAGTGAATGAGGTGCCTTCTTCAGTGATTAAGGACATGTGTGGAATGTGGAATGAGTTGCAAAGTTTTGTTGAAAAGTATCACCTGACCAAGCTGAAACATGTACAATAACAGTGTTGTGTCCTACTTCAGGGAAATCTTAAAGAAACTCCAGAAAAAGATCTCTCTGGACAGATATTTTGTGCGACAGGGGTTCAGTGACTCAAGTTGTTCCCAGTGGCATTAAAGAAGAAGGGAAGTAACCCCAGATAAGGACTTGCTACCTAAAGTCCTAATGGAAGGAGATTCTCCTTCCAAACAATAGTGTACACCTTCCTCCTATCCCCTCCTCCCGTCTTCCATCCACGCAGAAGTCTTCAGTAAAGGTAAGTGTAATGTTATTGTTATTTTTTTAAATGCATGTACTTGATTTCTGATTGTTTTCATTATGTAAATCTTTATTTAATTTGAAAAAAATATTTTATTTTAATATTTTTGGGTGTATGGAACGGATTAATTTTATTTCCATTATTTCTTATGGGGAAAATGGTTTCGAGTTTCGTGAATTTCAACCTTCGGCGGGCTCTCTGGAACAGATTAATCACGAAACTCGGGGGTCCATTATAATAATAATTTGTAATAATAACAATTTGTAATAATAATAATAACTTGTCAGAGCATCATTCCTTCTAAAAATGATGTTACATGAGAATGGAAGTGTTGCTCTTTATTTATTCTACTGTACCACTGTGGAGACAGCTTGTACACAATGTAAGGTGTTTGTATGAATGTGTATGAACCACAACCAGACGTGTTTGTTTACATAAGTACTCTGTGGCTCTATCATCTTAACTCGTTCTCTCCCTCTCTTGTTTATTCGTTATCTTGCTTACTCACCTCTTACCCTACATTAAGACTACAAATATTTTAAGGTAAGTAATGAGTGTACTGTATATGCATTTTATTGCTATAGGGCACTTTAAGTGTCGTAGTATATTATGTGTGGGTGGGTTGGCCAGGAGGGCTACCATACCTCCCACATGACTTTCTATAAATTTATACTTTTCACCTCTCACCCTACATTAAGGCCATTAAGACTACTAATATTTTAAGGTAAGTAATGAGTGTATGGTATATGCATTTTATCACTTTAGGGCACTTTAAGCGTCATAGTATATTATGTGTGTGTGGGGGTGGCCAGGGGGGCTACCATACCTACCCACACCTGACTTCTTAGAGTAAATGCTACTCACCTTTTGCCCTACATTAAGACTACAAATATTTTGAAGTAAATAATGAGTGTACTGTGTGTGTATTTCACTTTTTAGTTTTTTAATGCCTAGTTCTGTTGCTAACTTAACCCTTTGAGGGTCGACAGGCCCTCTCCGAAACTCGTTCTCAGGGTCGGCCAAATTTAAAAAAAAAAAAATTATTTTCTCTTATGAAAAGATAGAGAATCTTTTCCCGATCATAAAGACACCAAAAGTTTGAAATTTGATAGAAAACTTACGATATTTACGCATCGGCGATTTTGCCCACTTTGAGCCCCATTTTCGGCCAATTTCACTGTACTAGTCGACAAAAAACATGAATATTTCGCTAGAACTCCATTTTTTCTATCGAATGGGTGCAAGAAACCACCCATTTATAAATTCAACTATCCAGTACAGTGGTCAGAATTTAGCAATTTTGCCAATTTCACACAAATTTCAAAAGATGCCAATTTCCGAATAGGGTCCAGAATAAACAAGAAAGACATTCCTGGCACTAAAATGACATTTCCTCTAGTCATTAGTCACGTCTCAAGGGCCCTCTTATATCCTTTTGCTTTCCACTTTGAATTTTTATTCTCACAAAAAATATAAGATTTACTGTTATGCAGACTACTGCATTAGTGTAAAAAATGGTATAAATATTATTGGTGCACTTGTAAAAGAATATTAGACTCACCAGTTGACGTGTATTGCACGCTTGGCACGATTTGTTTACTTTTGAAGTTTGGTAAAAATCGAACATTTCTGCTACTTTGAGCTCAATTTCAAGGCACCTTTCATTGTAAAACCAGTCAAAATCATCTCAATTTCTGTAATATGTCTTCCATTCTATAAAATGAGACCAAGAAAACTAGAATACAACAATAAATACCATACGAAAATACGCTGCAAAGTCGCTGATTTATTAAAAAAAATGGTCAAAGTTTTTTTTTTCTCATTATGCACTGTGTGCTGGAGGATTTTTTTTAGACTGTGCACACTGACCACATAGACCCATTCTTTCACATGAAGGCCTACCAGCTTTCTCCCACTAGATTTGAGGCCGCTAGAATTTATGAGTACTAGTACGTCAAAAACCCCTACGCGTAAAACGTACTAGTACGACCAAAACCCTCAAAGGGTTAATATATGTTAGTGTAAACTTGTTATCTGGCATTTATATGTATTTATAAGTGGAAAAAATGGCGTTCTGCTTTCCAGCGATGTCTGCTTTGTGGCAGTAGCCTGGAACCTAAACTGCCGTGGAAGTGCGGCCCTACTGCATACACATTTTCAATAATCCATCTATGATATTTTTTCATAATTATATAATAAACATGCTACATAACATATAAACGTGATAAATACACCCCGCAGTAGAATAAATTAACATATACGTATATGAAATGTTTTTCCAGTCGTTTGAGTGTTGGAAAGAATAATATTTTCTCTAGTTCAACACCAGAGAAAATGTGTACACAATAATATAACTGGGGTAAATCAGTCAAAATCAAAATGTTTATTTCCTTGTAAAAATATTAATTAC